CCCCCCCCCCCCCCCAAAAAAAACCCCCCCCCCCCCCCAAAAAAAAAAAAAAATGCAGGACTAGGACTTTCCAGCGATCGTATGTTACTCGCGTCACGAGAGTATCGAAGTTTGACCAATGTTATCAACTGTTGATTTTAGATATCTATATGTTAAAAGAGCCCGCAGTAATTGGTTTTAACTGTTGTGGTGTCCCCGCCATTCGTCACTTGTATAGTTTTTGTATTTGTATTGTATACATGTCATTTATGTAATTTTTACCTGGCGAAGTTAAATAAATAAATAAATAAATAATGTATTGTATTTTTGCCAAAAAAAATTAACAATTTTTAGGTTTCCAGTTGTTCAAATTTCGGATTGCAAAATTTTCTGCAACATTGCTATTGATTAGTTGCGCTAAAATACGATATGCACGTGACGATGAAGGAACATATTTCCGACAAATATATGACTTTAAATATTGTAATTCTAATGAGTTTCCAAACCATCTTTTCTATCAAAAATGGTTGACGAGAAAAATATCCGAAATAAGTGAATATCATGGGAACCCATAAATTATAAATCGCTTTTGTATGCCAATGCCAAACCGACTTGTGGGACGTAGCAACCGTAACTTCAGAGTAGTTACAGTTGCTGTAGATGTCCATCGTGCCTTAAGATGTCCATCGTGCTTTAAGCAGATGTCCATCGTGCTTTAAGCGCCTAGAGATCGACATTTTCAAAACGTTCTAAAGCTATATAATTTCAACGCGCAACGATACAATTTTAAGGCCAGTACTTATTAAAAGTCTCTCTAGCTTTCAAATATTCTGGCATCTAAATTGGCTTACTACATTAAAAGCTTTCATCTCAGTGATTTTTATACTGAAAATCAACATAATTCGGCACGATAGGATCAAAATTAGCATACTATAATGTATAATGAGAAAACACAACCAATCAACTAACGTAGCCTCGAACCAATTATCGAAGAGAGAATGCTATTAAGTTCAATCTTCGTAGACGTCCGATCCCTACGATATACAGTATATAAGTGCAGCAAATTAGTTCAAAGCATTCGTATTGTCTCCTCTGGGAAGTGTAAGAAAAGTCAAAATTTCAACGTGATGTCTAGACGTGTCAACAAAAGAACCAAATTCCATGGACAGCAAGCCGGGAAACCACGTCGTAAAATCCTACGAAACAACAGACAGGGGATCACAAAACGCTTCCTACGCCGTCTGGCTCGAGGTGGTGGGGTAAAACGTATTTCAGAGTTGTCACCTACACCTAGCACGCTATGCGAAAGACTGTCACTGCTATGGATCTAGCGCACGTCGCGCTCAAGGACATACCGATTTGGTGAATAGATTCTGATTTGCAAAGATAGAAAAAAACGGCTCTTCTTCAGAGCCACCAAAATTTAAAAAGAATGCAAACGAATTCGATATCGCTTCGTGTTATGTCCAGTGGCGGACTGGGCGGTCGGTTAGTCCGACGCGTACCATTCTCGTCCCCAGAGCCATTTTCACTCTGTCACTCGTTGAAAATTAGGCTCTGGGATAGACGACCAAAGGAAGAGATCTGATTGGCTTCGCAGAGAACTGCTATTTCGCAGAAGTTGAGCAGTTTTCGCTGGGCAAAATTATTCTATCAACATATGTCAACACAAATACTTCGTTTCTTCTTAATACATCACTGAAAATTCTTACGGGTGCTAAAGTGTCCCAATTCAAGAGCATGCGCTTTAGAAACTACTGCAAGTTTTCTTGCACTTCCGGTTCCGTGTGTCCCAGGGCCTAGGGAGGACGCACGCGGCCGAGAGGCCCTGGGGGCGAGGATGGACGCGTACCCGAGATACTTAGCTATTCATTGGGGGCCCGAAATCATGAAAGGATCTCAGATTCACAAACCTCCCAAGGCGAGATTTTTTTACAAAGTCGCGTATATTTTTCGAAAAGCGCTCGAAACTTAGCGACCAGGCCTTCGTGAAAAAATGCTGCACCGCCATCTTGGTTTTAAAAGTTTCTCAAAATTTGCGAAGACAAACTGAACTTTTATGCGGGATTTTTGGTTATGTCATCGGGCAAAATATTGCTAACATAAAGAAGGATAACGTGGTAAGTGTAATATCATATTTAATGGCTGTTATTTGCACTATTATTATGTAAAAATGCACATGTATTTGACTCAGGAGTTAGGAGTGAGCATTTAAAGCTGCCATTTATAGTATTTTTTAAATAAATATTAAAACTGATTTGAAACTTGAAAGTGACGCGACTGCTCTCGTCTTCTGGATGATGGCCAGCTTGTTCACAGCTCGTTAATATAGTTACATGCAAAACTTTAATGAAAGCATTTTGCATTTTCAAGGAAGAATATGAGTATTTTTAAATCTAAATCCCTTTACTGAGATTTAATCATTTGCGGCCATTATGCATATGCAACCTGGCTGCTGCCATTTATACAATCGAATAAAAATTTTAATTTCGCTCGCTACTCTGGTTTAATTAAATAAATGATTAAAAAGCCAGGTCGAATTGTAATCAAGACCCAACGTTTCGACACTCTAGTCTAGTGTCTTCATCAGGCCAGGGGTGATCTAAACTTGCAAACATGGCTTCTTAAATACCCGAGAAATGACGTCACCTGAAAATTGGATGCATGTATTCCTCTGGGCTTTGTAATCATTTATTTAAACCGGAATAGCGAGCGAAACATGATTTAATATACCTGGTTGCAGTGAACGAACAAACTTTACTCAGGACTATAGTTGCAATTTTTTATTACACCAGGGATGGATGTAATTTGATTTGGTAGGATGGGTTACTGAACAAGGGCTGGTCATAAAGTAGGGCCTGACAATCAACTGACGCAGGTTGCATCATTATTAAGGACACCGTACAGGCTCAAAGAGCCAAGCATGTCAAAACAAAGTTGCCTATATGGTCATAAAGGCCCAATACTTTATTTTCTTGTTGTTTAATTGCCTCAGATTTAACAAAAAATATCCCCCCTCCCAAATAAAAAAACCTCCCGTAAATCCATCCCTCTATTAGCTAAACAAAAAAAAAACTCTTCTTTCTCAGTTTTTTTTTACAGCTCTGATTTTTTATAGATATCTGTGATATTACAATTAAGGCCGTTGGATGAGGGTCGAAAATGTTCAATACCGTAGCACCCCTCGTGTAACTACATAATTTTCACATGAATCTATAGATTATAACTTACTTAGTTAGAATCCACTTCCCCCCAAGCGAAATAGTTGCACAAAATGAAGTACAAGCTCTTCAAAGTTCACGCTTCCTCGTGTTTCAGAATCCATGAACCGCCATTGTTGTGTTGCAAATACGCATGCACTTGAGCACAAAACACGTAATGCACACGCGCAGATAAGAAAAACTGATCTCAATCTAGGACTGGACAAGAAAAAAATATGAAATATGCGAAAACAGGGCTGAAGTAAAACAAGATGACATCGGAATATTTTAAAAATATATGATATTTTTATGTTCTGTGCATTTTAATGGAGTTTACCAAACATTCTGAGCAATGTACCGTATCGAGCCCACGCCAGGAACACTTCCAAGCCAACATTACAATAATAACTTATTTAAAATATTAATTAAAATATGATGTTATTTTATACTACAGCAATTGCATAACGTTTGCAAGCAAATTTGTTTTTCAGGCTTTAAATATTATCACAATATATCCTAAACTTTCAGGGCCGTACACAGCAGGGGAGGCAATATCATTATTAATTATTCATTGGATATTTGTAACGTTTTTCGGCATATAGGCCTTACTGCCCCAGCTGATGAAAACATTCTGCGTACAGTCCTGTAAACGTTCTAGAATTCATGCCGTAATTTATCATATTTTTTTGGGGGGGGGGAGGAAGGAGGGAGGTATTTCTAATATACACAAAGAATCTGTTTGCACGTTTTATTTTCTTTAAATATGCAACATCGAGTACTGTGATTTTCCGTAAAATATCATAATTATCTTTCAAGTTTCAAATACAATTTCACTCCACGATTTTATACATTAATTGCTTACAGGATAGGGCTGGGGGTGGGGAAGAAGTGGTGCTAAACAAAGGAATGACTATATACCATAAACTAAGTATTACTCGGTATTCACAATCTTATTTATTCTCTAAATCTTTTCCCGTCAATTAATTTTATTAGTCCGGTTGTTTATTGGCTTTGCGTCTAATCCATTAGTAAGCCAAAGAACGGAGGTTAACTCTTTGCCTCAAGGGCCAACGTACCAATTCTGAGTTACGCTGACTGGAACCTCATTACGACTCTGTTTTTGTACCAACCAATCCTCAAACACTCGTATTTCGTTGTTCATGTACGCCTTTAGCGTAGCCATGTTGGGGCTTGGAGGACCCCCCCCCCCGGTAAAATTTTGGTGCCCCCTGAGAAAATTTATTCTATAAAAATAAGTGAAACATAGCCCACCTACGTTTTTGCTGCCCCCTGATCAAAAATCCTGCATGGCTACGTTTCTGGACATTTTGGAGAGAAGTGATGTTTTGATAAAGAGAAAACTACTCAGTTTGAGTCAGGTAATCTGTTGGTCTTGTTCCGATTTGCGTCTTTATGCTGTTGGATAGCATATTTAAATTTACTTGAGTGAGAATGGACAGTGTGTTGTGGAAATTTAAAGCTGTTAATGCTAAATAGATAAGACAAAAACTCCCTTTCTCTTGGTATGCGCGCGTCGTATGCGCAAGTTATTATAATTAGATTGCAAACGTCGCGCCATTAATGCTGTTGCATAACAATACCTCCTAAAATCCACTAAGCTATTTCCTTCTTTTTTTTTTGATAAGCTGATCACGATGATTGCACAAATGTACTGAATTGGCGAAAAGGCGTTCGTGATAAAGGCGTGCATGATGAACAACGTAACACGAGTGTTTGAACACGAAATTGGCTGGTACAAAAACCGAGTGCATAATGAAGTTCCAGTCAACATAGAGCCTGAACCTCCATTCATTCTTATTAATAATGGATTAAATGCAAAAGAAATAATAAACAACGAACCTGGACTAATAAAATTGACGGGAAAAAATTTAGAAAATAAATAAGATTGTGAGCACCGAGTAACACTCAGTCATATTTAGGGAGTGGTCATTATTTATGGGGAGGGGAGGTTGGGAAATGGGGGGGGGCAAACGAAGTTTTACCCTTATAAATTGGGGGGGTCAAAAAAGTTTTAACACAGAGAAAGGGGGGGGGGTCATGAAAGTTTTTGAATTTAAATACCATGTCTAGAGTTCTGATTTCTATAATCACAAATAGCAAAAAAGAAGACTCTGAAAATGCTATTTCCAACGATCTAGAGACTCAAAATTTTCAAAATTACTGCACAGCGCCAACCATGGTAGCGCCTCGCGATCGTGGGAGTTGGGCCCACTAAGTTTAACAAGCTTTCTACCCCCTAAGTGACCCAGTTGTGGTATTTACATAAACATACCATGCAAGTACACTTAACTGATCAGATTCCGTCTATCAACGCACAGTGTAACGCTGTATATCCAAAAATCTGTTTCAGAAAATGCTCACATTTCAGTTCTAGGGGTGGAAGAATACAGACGATACCACACCAAACTTTTTGTCACCAACAACCATCTGTCGTCTCTACACACTCAATATAGTATGGTCCCTTTTTGTAGATGCCCACCCCCCAGACAAGTTCTTAAAATCTCATTTCGCTGTATGAAGACGGGTCATGGGTTAGGGTTGTGGTAGGACAAATGTTGCATTGCAAAGTAGTAACACATGATATATATTTTTTAATCATATATGGTTGAATCATATTCACCAGGGGCCGGTTGTTCAAAGCTGGGTTAGCTTAACCCTAGGTTAACCTAAAATTCAAAGCAAACTTCCTGACAGCTTGTCTATAAATTTGGAAATATTTCTTCAGAGATCTTGTCTGGATGGATAGGAGTTTACTTGTCTGAAGTTTTGAAATAAACAGACGTGCAGAAATACACAAACTAAAACAGCAGGTTAAACTTTTAACCCAGGGTTAGCGCTAACCCACCTTTGAACAACCGGCCCCAGGGTAAAACATCATGAGCTAGATTGAACAGATTGTCCTAATATCTAACTTTACCTGCAATGCACACCTGTTTCATTGCTGTTAATTTTTCAATCTACACTGGGGGGGGTGTCAGAAAAGTTTCTACTTTTATGAGGGGGGAGGCACAATAAGTTTGCCTTCAGTCTGGAGGGGGGGGACAAAAAAGTTTTCAATCCTTATTTTCACCATTTTCCAACTCCCCCCTCCCCATAAATAATG